CTAAGACAGATTTGTGATAGTGGGTGAAACAATTGTCTTTCTACACCAAGCCCACCAAAGTACCTACCTATAAGAAATAAAATGTCTATTGCTGGCTATGATTGCAGAAGTCAGACGAAAACGACCTCTTCACTCCACTGATGCCGGTGAAAATCCATCAAGATCCGCTCCATGCTATGTATCACTTTTATTGCTCCCACTAACTGCTTGACCCCAACTATACCTAGCTATCGGCAATGCAAACACCAACTTTAGTGCCCTGCTATCAGTACATGATTTGGGGGGCTATGTCTATCAGTAGAAGATTTGGGGTACCCTGCCACAAGTAGAAGATTTGGGGTGCTCTGCCATCAGTAGAAGATTTGGGGTGCTGTGTAATCAGTAAGGGGGTTCAGGCATTCATTGTCAGTGGTCCATCAAACGGAGCCATGCCCAGATATCCGTCCGTTCACAGAGATTCAGAGAGTTCCTACACTGCCTGAGAGTGATGGGTGTTATCTTCTAAAAACAGCTGAGTACTTGCTCTGTAAAAGGAAAAGAGAGCCTCTTTGTGCTGTGGATGACGACTCCCACAATGCTAAATCTTCCATTAGTTGAGCTTAGAGTGATGTGCAATGTTATGACCTGGAATAAAATGGGGTTTTATTGGGAATTTCACTGTTAGGTTTCTGCAGACACTGCGGAGGTGCTGGATATAAATAATAAAATCCCTGAAATCTCCACGTTGTAAGACTATGAAATGTAGAACTGCAGAAGGTGTGAGGTTCTATAAATGTCAGTAACACAAGCTGTAATGATGAAGGCTGCGTGATTTGGAAGATCCGTTTGGTTTTATCATCGTATTAATAAATGATTTTATAATAAATTAACCAATACTTTGCTTTTCTTCCAACAGAAAACTAATCTCTATCCGGTAACGAGTGACGGACGCTGCATAGCACATAGCACACTGATGGCACGCCTCGTGATCCATCCTACTATCTCTCCGCTTGGGATGGACTGTGTCCCACCACTTCCCATCCAATCATTGCTAATTACTGTCGCTTGATGTAACTGATTCCAATAAATAGAAATATCATCACTCCATTGTGAGACCCTGCTTTCTGTGTGGGATTACAGATAGCACATAATGGGATATTAGATACAAACAGAGATAACATTTAACTGCTCTCCACCAGCCCACACATTTCCACCCCATCATGGACTTCTTCATGGTTAGAAAAGTGGTCTTCTATATTATCTCCATAAAAATATTACCTTTTGGGCTTTCCCACATATTGCATGACATGCTCAGCTTGGTCATTCTGTGGCTGAAGTTGAGTTAGGATTTCAGAAATCTCATTTGACCCAAGGTCCAAGGCCATCACAGTAGTCGTACATGAAATAAACCCATGTATAATCAGGTTATAGAATCTGTAGAGCAGCTGTCCATCTCTCTCTGCCAGCTCAGCATTCTGAAGAAATCAAGGAATTAGTAAGATGAATTGGGGTGACCTGACTGTCCATAAACACTACAGCAGCAGAAACGGCAGACGAGTGACTTGTAGAATAAAAGAAATACATTCAGCTTGCAGTTTGTCATTCTTCCTCTCCACCTCTTGTTTTCATAGCGGTCGAGTAAGTTAGCTGCAAGATTGTAACCCAGAGTCGATCATGCACACACTAAGCCATCCGCCCAGTGCTGCACCTCATTAATATTATTAAATAAAAGGAGTTTTATTCATCACCCACCACCACCAGTTGGATATTTCCTTTGGGTTCCACTTTTGGGATTCAGGCATATTTACATCCTAGGGACCTTGATTGATCACTGAGGACTTGGCGTTCCTCTTAGACTGTAATTAGAGCAGGATTGGGGCACTTTATTTTTACAGGATGAGATATACCCCAATTTAAATATTAGACCGTAGATTTCCTGTCTCCCAGTCCATTCCCATTTGCCCTCCTTGTGGCTAAAGGTACCAACTAATAATATATTATTATTATTATCACCATTTATATAGCGCCAACAGATTCCTTAGCGCTTTACAATATTATGAGAGGGGGGATTTAGCTATAAATAGGACAATTACAAGAAAACTTACCAGAACTATAGGTTGAAGAGGACCTTGCTCAAATGAGCTCACAGTCTACAGGAGGTGGGGTATAAAACATATTAGGACAGGGAACAGCAATCAAATAAGGTGGGAGTGAAGCAGCGCTTTAGGAGAGAGCAAGAGACAAGTATGTGAGGTAGAGGTTACTCTGGGAGGCCATAAGCTTTCCTAAAGAGATGGGTTTTAAGGCACTTCTTAAATGTTTGAAGACTAGGGGAGAGTCTGATGGCAGTAGGCAGTGTCATAGAGACTGAGTGATTGAAGAGTTTGAAGAAGGAGAGCAACCGTGTCAAAGGCAGCAGAGTGGTGAAGAAGTATTAGTATGGAGTAGTGGCCTTTGGATTTAGCTGCGAGTAAGGTCATTAGTAACTTTGATAAGAGCAGTATCAGTAGAGTGGAGGGGGCGGAAACCAGATTGAAGAGGGTCAAGGAGAGAGTTATTATGTTAATATTTATATAGCGCCAACAAATTCCACAGCGCTTTACAGTGGGTGGACGAAGAGACATGCAGTTGTAACCAGACAAGTTAGACACAAAGGACAGAGGGGTTGAGGGCCCTGCTCATTGAGCTTAGATGCTTGAGGGAGTGGGTTAGACATGTGCAATTTGTTTCGGGCCTGTGACGAGACCAATCTCGCCACATTGCATTGGAGAAGCCTGGTTGCTCGCCTGCTGCCTTTGGACTATGGCCCCCTTTTAAAAGACTTTATTTTTCCATGCAGAAAAGCCATATTCATGCTTTTCTGCCGGTTGTTCGGTAGTTTCAATCTACCGAACAACCGTACGAATGACTGGACCACCTGGGAGCTGGAGTGTGCCGGCAATTAACCTCCCTGAAGCTGCGGTTAACCGCAGCTTAATTGATGAATGCTGGGTGGCCGCCGTTCGTATCCCGAACACGAGGTCGCGGCCATTTTAAACCATACGAATGAACAGCGGTGTTCGCCTCTATTTTCATGGAACTAAAATCGGACACAGTTTTGCGCGAACACCGCTGAAGCCGCCGACCTCCCTTCTTGTTCGGTGAAAGCACACGAATGACCCGGTGTTCGGTATTTTTGTGTGAATGTCTTATACCCCAGATAGGAATCCCATGGAGCCCATTCGTATGAAACTGACTGTAAAGACTTTGGCTCCATGGCGATTAAACTGTATTCGTGTGGTCTGAGCGCCATTCACTTAATAGTGTGCGCTCAGACCTGAGCTATCTGGGGATATGTTACATGTCTGTGTTTTATGTAATAAATGTGACTTTATGTATTTTAAAGTGTTTTGTGTCTTTTTGCAACCATGTGCTTAATGGAGTCTTGTGTCTATCCTGGGAGATAATTGAATTACTTATCTCAGGATAGAAGACTCTGAAACTGGTTTGGGCCAGAAAGCCATGCTTCATTTAGTCACAAAGGACTTTTTACTAACTTTTGAACCCCTTGTCTGATTTGTGCCATTTTGAATATGTTGTTCCCCTGAATGGATTGATTGTGCATATGTAATTTTATGTGAATGTGATGTATGGTTTTAGAGTTATGAAAGTTGGGTAGAAAGTATGTTTTAACTGTATGTATAATGGAGTTTCCTCTCAGGATAAGGGGAGGGAATATGTGGGATGTAACTGTGATGTGATTGGTTGTTTTATACCTCCCTGTGGGCGGCCCTGTATTTGCAAGACTGTAATAAAAACCAGGCTGGGTGTGCCAGCACCTCAGACCACTGCTTGACCCTCAACACAGAGCCTTGTCTCGTTCTTGGGGGGATTCACTGTATGCTGTTAGAGACTGATTGCCAGGAGTGTAAGCCGCTTGGGAGCTTTACCTGTTCGTCTGCTAGCAGCTATTTGGGAGGTTCCAGTTTGGGAGTTGGAGTGCTATTTTGTATCCAGTTCGGGAGTCTGGTGTTCTGCAGTAGCTGTACCTGTATCTCTGGAAAGGGGGCCGATCGCCTAAACGGTTTTTACCCCTTGTGTGCAAAACGGTCCGTTACAATTGGTGGCAGCGGTGGGATCGTTCCCACGGACTACAGGACAGCTACAGGAGACACCATTCCGTGGATTTACAATTTGAGGGCAACGCATGTCCCAGTACAGCGACCCTGACAGCAACAGCATGGAACCAGCAGTGGCGTACAGCTACTCAAGGAGAGAGTTTGACAATATGATGGGATTGCGGCTGAAGTACTACGGACGACCCAATCCACCGGAGAAATCGGTGCAGCTTATAAGGAATCTAGTGTTCAAGAATCTGCAACACCGGGCAGAAAGAGAAGGTCAGCTGGCACGTTGGGAAGAACTCCAGCGACAGGTATTGCAGGGAATTGGGAGCCCAGTCTCCATTCCCCAGCGGGAGAGTGAATTGCAGGGAATTGGGAGCCCAGTCTCCATTCCCCAGCGGGAGATATTGCAGGGAATTGGGAGCCTGAGCTCCATTCCCCAGCGGCAGGCTGAGTTACAGGGGACAGAGATAGTTGCTCCTGTCCCCCAGCAGCAGAATGAATTGCAGGGAATTGGGAGCCCAGTCTCCATTCCCCAGCGGGAGAAATTGCAGGGAATTGGGAGCCCGAGCTCCATTCCCCAGCGGGAGATATTGCAGGGAATTGGGAGCCCAGTCTCCGTTCCCCAGCGGCAGGCTGAGTTACAGGGGACAGAGATAGTTGCTCCTGTCCCCTAGCAGCAGAATGAATTGCAGGGAATTGGGAGCCCAGTCTCCATTCCCCAGCGGCAGTGTGATACGCAGGGAATAGGGAGCCCAGTCTCCATTCCTCAACGGCAGAGTGTCCTACTGGGAATAGAGAGCCCAGTCTCCTTTCCCCAGCAGCAGGACTCTGTATTGGGAGCAGAGACAGTCGGTCTCCCTCCCCCATAGCTGGAAGTATGTATGGGAGAGGAGCTTGTTACCCCCTCTCCCCAGCGGCAGCTTAATGTACAAAGGGGAGACAGTAAGCCCCACAACTGTGCAGATGGGACCGTAGTCTCTACACTGCCAGCACAGGGGGTAGGGACGGTCGGTCCTGCCCCCCCAGCGACAGGGCTGTTTAGCCAAAGGGGAGACAGTCGGTCTCCCCCTCCAGCAGCAGAGATGGGTAACCAAAGGGGAGACGGTCGGTCTCCAGCAGCAGGACTGTGCATCTAAAGGGGAGACAGTCAGTCTCCAGCAGCAGGACTGTGCATCTAAAGGGGAGACAGTCAGTCTCCAGCAGCAGCAGCAGAGCGGTGTATTTAAAGGGGAGACAGTCGGTCTCCCCCTCCAACAACCAGGCTTCCACCAGGCTACCCTCCCAGTAGCGCTGGCAACAGGGCAGAGTGCAGCTGGTCTCTGCCCACGCAGCAACCCACCAAGTCAGCGTACCCGTACCCAGCACAGCCGTGGTGAGGCACCTGGACATGGACAAGCTTCTTCTCTACCCAGGTGTAGTAACCATTTGTTGTGCGTGGGCTGTGCTGTGGATTATTTGTTGTGGGTGGGCTGCTGGACTAACAAGGGCACTGACCGGCAGGAGGTC